ACATAGGTAATATTTAAGAGCTGCGATGCGACCTCACATGGCTAAAGTAACCAATCTTAGCACTAAACGTGCGACCACAAGTGTCACACGTCAGTGTACCATTTACATAATTGTATGTTATATTAGCAGGTGGACGTGCTTTTATTCGGTCGCGTTTGAGATCCAGTTCTAGTTTTCTGTTATCTTCAAATGCATGTACTTTTTCATGTACATGCCGTCTCCATCCAGATCTGTTTTCAGCGAGAGATTCCCAGCGAGACGGTTCAATGCCGCAGCTCTTCATGTGTCTTTTCTGAACATCTTTGAAGCGCAAGTATTGGCCCCCGCGTTTCCGCTTACCAAACTCTAGTTCAGAAAAGAAGATGCGCTTCGCTTTTCGCTCGTCTGACATTCTCGCAAGGTGTCCGCACCAACGCAACTGACGCTGCATCAAGTATGCCTCAATGCCATAGACATTAGCTCGTCGAAGAACATCGGTATTGCGAATCCGATCCGACCATTTAATGTTTATAATTTCGCGGAGGCATTTTAGATGGAATCTGTCAAGCGTGCGTATTTGTCTGCGATGTAGGCACCACGTCTCAGATGAGTACAAGATGATGGGCAGTACGGTCGCCATGTATACCTGTATTTTTGTACTTAATTTGATGTTATGGGATCTGAATACTCGGACTCGGAGACTACCAAAAGCAGCCATGGCAGAGCCAAGTCTACTATTGATCTCCAAATCAAGGTCGCCTTTGGCTGTTATGCTGCTACCAAGGTAACGAAATTTGTCTACGTGTTTTAATTTATTTCCGCTAATGTGTAGATTGAATGGAGCCTGATTTTCGGCACCCATAGCCATCACCTCGGTTTTTGCGATGCTAATTTTTTAAACCAAATCTAACACATGCGCTATTAAGTCTCGAGATAAGGTCTTGTAATCCTTCAGAAGTATCCGCTACAAAGCACAAATCGTCGGCATACATGAGTTCAGTAATAAGATCATGTGATACTTTTGTGTGGGATTTAAGCCTAGCAAGGTTAAATATGCCGCCATCCGTACGATACCGTATTCGAATTCCTTCCGTATTATTTTGTAGACTTTCCTTCACAACTACCGAAAAATACAGGGCAAAAAGTGTTGGCGCCAATACGCAGCCCTGCTTTACACCACAGGTGACGGGAAACTGCTCTGACTGCTCACCATCAACAACCACTCTACATGTCATATTCTCATGAAGAAGTTTTATCAGACGTATAAATTTGTCAGGACACCCTAATTTCGACAGAACAATCCATAACGCCTCACGAGGCACGCTGTCAAAAGCCTTCTCCAGATCTATGAAACAAAGGAACAGAGGTTGGTACTGCTCTCTGCTTTTCTCCTGCAATTGTCTTAACGAGAAAATAGCTTCGCAGGTGCCTCTGTTTGGTCTGAAGCCAAATTGTGTTTCAGGCAATATCCTTTCTGATAGATCCATTAGGCGGTTTAGGAGAACCCTAGCAAACGCTTTTCCAGCGGTGGAGAGCAATGAGATACCTCTGTATGAGTTACAGTCCGAGCGATTGCCTTTGTTTTTATAAAGGGCACAAATTAGCGAGACACCAAAATCAAAGGGCACTTTTTCCTCCTCCCATATCTTTTGAAAGAACAACCAGATCTTATGGTGTAGCGTATCTCCTCCATACTTCAGTAATTCTCCAGGAATATTGTCTACACCGAAAGCCTTTTTGTTCTTTTGAGCCTTGATGGCTTCAATAACTTCCTGGAATGAAGGAGGTTGAACTAGATCTTCAGCTCTTGTTAATTCAGGGAGTAATCTCAGATATTCAAGATCAGCCAGCCGATCAACATTAAGTAAGTTATTAAAGTGCTCCGCCCAACGATTTAGAACATCTTCCTTAGCGACCAGAAGATTGCCATTCGTGGATTTAATGGGCACACTTATTCTATGTGAGTTTCCGACGAGTTTCCTAATCTCCCCAAAGAATTCGCCTAATTGATTGGTGTCTGCAAGCCATTGGATGTGTTCGATTTTGTTCTGCCACCATTCATCCTTTGCTGTACGAGTGAGTTTCCTGAGTTTTAATGTACTCTGTCTTATTCTGTCAGAAACATTCATCTGACCTTCCCCACGAAGAAGTTGGCGATGTTTCGCCAAAGCATCTGATAACAACTTTTCATTATCATCAAACCAGTCTGCACTTGAGCGAGGTTTGATGCCAAGAACTTCTTTGGCAGCTCTAAGGATGTTAGTAGATAGGAAATTCCAAATTTCAGTCGTGTTGTCAGCAGCAGGGTCAATAGTTGTTGTTAGATTGTAGATAGCTTCCCTGTACTTATCTACAGTTTCGGTTGACTCCAGTTTTTTTAGGTCAAGGCTAAACTGCCTGATTTTACAGGGTCTTCGGCGAGGCCATAGACGCAAACGCATTTTGGTTATCACGAGTCGGTGATCTGACCAACAATTTGCGCCACGCATAACCCGTGTAATAGTGATCTCAGAGATGTCCTGCTGTCTAACGATGGCGTAATCAATAAGGTGCCAGTGCTTAGACCTTTGATGCATCCAGGTGGTTTTGTATTTTGCAGGCAGTCTAAACATGGTGTTGGTAATAGCCAAACGAAATTGTGAACAAAGGCTTAAAAGTAACTGGCCATTGTCATTCATATTTCCAACACCATGATGCCCCAATACACCAGGCCAAGCTTCGTAGTCACGTCCAACACGAGCATTGAAGTCGCCGAGTAACAAGATTTTCTCACAGCTACGAATTTTGGACAACGTTTGTGAAAGTTCTTCATAAAATTGGTCTTTCACGTCGTCACTTTTATCAAGCGTAGGTGAGTATACACTAATAATATTCAAACGCTTGTCGTTTTCAAGATGAAGACGCAAGGACATTATACGATCTGAAATACCAACAGGATATTCTACCAATTTAGAGGCTAGTGTGGTTTTAGCTGCAAAGCCTACTCCTGATCGTCTAGGCTCAGAAGCTGGTGTACCTTTCCAAAAGAACGTGTAACCACCGCCGCGTTCGATAAGTTCTCCCTCATCAGCCAGGTGAGTTTCGCTGAGAGCAGCTATATCGACATTATACCGTCCAAGCTCTCGCGCTACGATGGCGGTTTTCCGTTCGGGGCAAAGGTTGTTGGTTCGATCTATAAGAGTGCGGACGTTCCAAGCGCCAAAAGTCATAGTCCGTTGGATTGTTTTAGTTTTCAGTTTTTTTGTGGTGCGACCACGCATAAATGGGATGTCCAGGTAGCCGTGGTTACTACCTCCCATAAAGTTGGGATGAGCATTTGTTTGGGGCACCTTTTCTAGCCCCCTCCTCGGCTATGCGAGGAAAGCAGTGCCTCTCTAAATAGAGCTGCTTTGTCGCAGAGGGTGCTGCCGAAACTGCACTGTCATCCCGTCGCAGTGCAGGAGCGACCACTCTCCCTAAGCCGCCTATGTGCAGGTATCAGACAAAGAACGGTATACATCAAAACCGAACTTTTCTACCTCTACCTATCGCCACAGGGCTTCTAGTTCCAATATTCCGATAAAAACAAAGCCAAAGTCAAGTACGCAGGATATATTTAGGTGCATAAGTGGACGCGCAATACACAGATGCACCCTCTCGTCTACCTCCCCTTAATCCAATGGAACGGATACCCGCTACGATCGGAGGAGAGGGAGATGCAGTCTCTGGCAACGATACATCACTCCTATCGCCACCTTCAGGCCTTCAACGTTGCCTGGTTGTCTCGCCACTGAGAGTGGACTGCATATGTGCCAAGACCAACAGCACATGCACGGGGAGTTGCCGTGTTAAGCTCGAACACTGACATAGGCCGTCGCAAAGACGGAATATGACAGTACTCGGGCCCCCCTCAACCAGGTTTAGCCCGCGAGTCGACGCGGTTCCCAGGGTGTGGCCGCTGTGTGCTAACAGCTGCTAGGAGCCACTGGTGAGAGGACTTTTTAGACCATCAACGATTTTATCAAAGCAGAAAACTGTACCTTAAAGGTCGACTAACAGTAGCTGACGCTGACAATCTAATACACCCCAAATCAAATCCATTCATTGTGGTACTCATTCAAATGTCTTTATGTGCTATTATTAGAACACCATGCTACTTTTTTTTCATCGGATTCCTGTACGCTTTGGAAATTTAACCATGAATATGCTTTTTCATACATCTCGAATTCTTTTATATTTCTCGTATACGAAAGGATAATAGGCTATTCGTGTTATTGTATACGTCACTGATATACACTTAGGACTATATTTTTATCTTACCACGTACTAAATTATTGTGACTGATAAAGACATTCCAGTCATTTCTTTATACATAAACAATATATGTACGAATAGGGAAGGTTAACTAGTAACTTTATTAGTTAAAAATTTAATACATAATAACTGTGAATATCGTTATAATTCTTCATACAGTGATGTAATACAATTATAAGCTAATGTTCATATAAATGACAGCTTAAAATATTGTTATAGTATTAACAAGCTCTATAAGCCATTATATTTAAGTGAGATTAAAATTATAAATGAAATTAGTTGTTGTGTCAGGTATTATAATAATAGGAAATAACTTGTAATAACACCAAATAAATATATGAGTTCTCGTTAGTTGTTAAAAAAGATCATTCATTTCATACGATGGTCTACACACAGATAGTTATTTGATAGTGTCCCATACAAAAGAAATAACAAAATATTTCTATTGAATACCTTACAATTCAAAGAAATTCTTCCGCATTAAAGAACATACATTTCCTTTGCCGTTCCCATCGAGTGTCCTCTGCTGACAAACGTAATCGATTAGGAGGGATGGCGAAAAATTTCTTTTGAAATATTATATACATAGTGCGAGCGTAAGTTTTTGTTATGGCATCAAACATTAAAATAAATAATTAATGAAAGTAGTCATAGTAATTATGATAGTGAAACAATGAAAAAACATGAAAACAATGAGCTTTTAAGTAACGATTGTACTTTGTTTTCAGCCTGTTGGCATCTATCGTGGAAAGTATGAATGGGCGAATGAGAATAGTCCTATGGGGGGTGACTGTTCACTGTGGGTGAGAGCGGCGACTTTGCAACTGGATGATGGACAATGGCAGTGTCAGGTTACAGCCAGCAACTATGATGTACAGGTTTGTTAGCTTTATTAAATAAAATCACAGTGTGAGACAACCATTTAGTGAAAGTGGACAGTAGATAAAGTTTAAAAACAATTGTTACGGTCACAAAGATATACGACCAATTTAAGTGGACCGTAAAATAATGTTGATATGGATTGACTTAACATTATTTTATAATACAATTTGCAAGTAATCCACTTGTATTTGAGCAACATAAGTGTAAATATTATCGATTTTGTCGTCTGAAATTAATGATTAACGTTCCAGGATGCTTTATCAAGTCCACCAGCGGCTCTCGCAGTCAGAGTTCCACCACAGACTCCAAGGATTCTGTATAATAGCTCTCACATCATGCCAGGACAGAATATCACCGTTCCTGCAGGAGGTAGAGCAACGGTCGTATGTGAAGCTAGATACGGCAACCCGCCCGCTTATATAGAATGGTATTTGGGTGAGTTGAAAATATTTTAATATCAACATCTTTGAATTTATAATTCGTAACGAAAATCTTTTCATGAAACGACATTGAATACTAAATAATAGTTTTGTTTTTTTAAGTGACAAGCAATATTTCCTTGACATATTTTTATACAATTTATTTGTGTTTATTTATCGTCTTTAATAGTAGTATTTCCGAATGCTTTGTATAATTCATTACTTTACTATGTCATCATTAATACATCATGCGTCTGTCGTTAACGTTACCTTTATTAAACTGAAAGGATGTGTGTTATTTAGTTAAGGCTCTTTAATTATATGTACATAGCACACATTAAAAACAAAGTAAACACATCCATTTCTAAGATTGTCACGAATTGTACCTATTTAAATTGGTCCATTTAAATTACTTTCGAGCGCAATTCAAGTAATATTGAGTAACATTTTATTTTAAGATCAACCATTCAAGTGCTTTACAAAAGTGTTCACAGAAGAGACGAGATGGAAGTTAAAAGTTTTAATGTAGACTTCAAAATCAAATATTTAATCTTTGAGTTACATTCTGTAGTAATAGTTTTTTTAAATGACATGGAATTTATTCGAAGTTTTATAGAAGCATTTGCATTACTTTATATTGAGTAAAACAAATTAAGTTATAGTTAAAAATATATGATTTATATTGATTACTACGATCATTAATTACTATTGCCTATATGTGGTCTTTTTTAAATCTAAGATAATTCTGATAAAATTCTTGGAATTCTTTAGAGAAGGAACGCCTAACGGCTTGGAGTCAAACCAATTCTTCGGAGGTGGAGCGGCCCAGGGTGTGGGCTGCAAGATCTGTTCTGGAGCTTGGAGCTACACGGTCAGCTCACGGCAGACAGCTGGCTTGTCGGGCACATCATCCTTCATACCCGTCCCCGTACTATAGAGACTCTTACACCATGTTGGATGTTACTTGTGAGTATTTTATAAACTAATATTGATAACTAATAGAGACGAGATGAGAATTCTCGTCTCTCTGCCCGTGATTACGGTTACTGCAAAGTAACGTCAAAGAAACGTCGGGAGTATGTACTTTAAAATAATAAAATAACGCCTATTAATCCGATAATATTAGTTTCATTTAATTGAACACCCGCGAAAGTTGTACAACTCATTTGTAAAATTTTAATTTCTTAAACTTTGAAGCGTTTATTAAAATTTAGATCACTGATTTAACGATCATAATCTCTCAATTTTATTTTCCCCAGTCGTCCCCGAAGTATCAATCGTTGGAGCTGACTCGAGTTCTCTCACGAGTCTAGAGGAGGGTTCAAGTGCTCTGACTCTCGAATGCCGAGCGGACGGTAATCCTAGCCCTTATGTGTGGTGGACTAAGGACGGTCAGGTCATAGCTACGAACGGTCACAAGCTGATAAGGGCACCTGTATCCAGAAACGATTCTGGTGATTCAACATTTTTTACTCCAAATGTATGTCATGTTATCTCGATTGGGATAAAACTTATCTAATATATATTTCTAGGTATCTACGGATGTCAAGCGAGAAATTCATTGGGTACATCGGATTCGGTCAAAATAGAAATTGATGTGAAATGTGAGTACTGAATAAATTTTACATTTTAACAACTGAATTAACCAAAACTTGTATTTATTAATAATTAAATATTTATTTTGTGATAAATGTCTTTACTAGTGCTATTAAATTATACTAGACCGTTTCTATAAGGTCTATAAAAATACCTATGATTTCAGTCTCAAATAAATTTGTGAATAACAATTATATTTATATGAAGAACCTAAAATTCCCAATACTCATAGTTTTTGCTGTACGTAAAAAAAATATACATGAAGAAATGCCAACTCGGTGTTGTTATTTCTTAATTTCAATCAATCAATAAATTGTTTGTATGTTGTAGTCTCTCCTCGAGTAACCTGGATAGGACCAGACACGGTGGTGGAAGCGAACTTGTTCTCAGAAGTAACCCTGGAGTGTAAGGCTGAAGGAAACCCACCACCCTCCTACCAGTGGTATCATAAGTAAGAAGAAAATGGATTATTATTAACCTTTCAAGAACTAACATACTTAACATTATATACGCAAAATTTTGTAAAAGTAATTGTATTTAAACTTTTAAAATACAAGATAGACTAAATTAAATATGAATAACTATACATAAAATTATTATAAAATAAGTAAATAATGCTTTAAACTAATCTATTTATATAATCACTAGCTTTCGGGAGTGGAGTTCGGTTATATCGCATTTCCAAGAGAACCTTTCCGAAGTCTGGGATAAAAAAACTATCCTATATTCTTTCTCAATGTCAACTCTATCTCTGTACCAAATTTCATTAAAATCAGTTCAGTGGTTTAGGCGTGACAGATAGACAGAGTTACTTTCGCATTTATAATATTAGTAGTTATCTCTTTTTAGTAGAGTACTTCATCGAAATTTAAGACTTTATAGTGGCTATACTTCTTCTTCCTGGCAATATCCCAGCTTTAGCCAGGGTCTGCGGCTCATATTATTAAGAGGTTTCTTCTGTTCCAGTCCAAACCTGTCATCAATGAGCGGTCACCTAGATGATGGATATCCGATATCATCAACACCACAGCTGTTGCTCCACAACGTCTCTTATACACAACACGGACGGTACACTTGTATAGCTACCAATCATATTGGACTTGAAGAAAGGTATGTTATATCATTTGATAGACATTCTTATAGAATATTTGTAGACGATTTTCATAGAATATTTTGAATGCGTTACTATTAGAGACAGCCAAAAAAACCTGTATCGAAAATTTTGTCTAATTGCTATGCTTTAGGTCTGTAATTCTTTTTCAAATTCGTTTTACCTTAGTTGCTAGAAATGTACAAAAAAAATATAAGTCATTATTGTTATATCTTTATGGGGCATAAAGTAAACAGTATAATTAAATAGAAACAATACTTCCAGGAGTCACCAATCGGAGGCAATCACATTGAACGTGCTTGGACCACCGGTTGGTGCTGAGACAGGTGTGTCGCACGCGTGGTCCGGGGGCGAGGCTCGTGTTCAAGCCGCTGTATGCGCCGACCCACCACCAAGAAGAGCCGCCTGGCTGTGGGGAAGTCTTAGATTAGACGTGCCATCACATGTTGGTGAGTATCACTAATCTTACTGAATAGAAGACGTAAAAATTCCCTACAAACCTTAAAGATACATGAAAGGAAATTGTGAATAATTTTTTAGCAATTTTAAAGATAAGTTTTATCAATAATTAATTGAAGAGTTCTAATAGTTTTAATTCTATTCAACACTAATATTAAAGATATCTTTTTGCGACTGTTACCATTTACTATTATGTGGATTGTCTGCTGTTTTAAAACTATGTAACTAGTGGTAATGTAGAAAATACCAAATTATAATTTATCGAACAGATTTCGGTCCTGGAGACCTTCCAGGAAAGTTTTCTATTATCGTCGTTCCTCAACATCAAACTGCTTGTTCTTTTATATATCCATCAAACAGTATAAGGCAGCTCTCCTACATTATAATTTAGAAGTAATCATTGTGACTTTCTTTATTGATATCGTAGAACATAAAATATAACGATTGCCAATAAGACTGGTTCGGTTTTCTACCCTTGTAAATAAAATATTGGTATACCTAGTTTTTCTAAAATGTTTCTGTATCCCACAGGTCGTTACAAAGCCCTGGAACCTAGCGACGTAGATGGCTGCTATCGCTACACTCTGTTAGTCAGCGGCACTGGTGCAGCAGACGCAAGAGTTTACGTGCTGCATGTTGAAAACGAAAGAGGATTCTCCTCACACTCTGTGTCGCTTACTGTACACGGTGAGAAATTCCGTATGGACCATTAAAAATATATACCTGGAGAAAAATAGTTATGATTACAGTATATGAAATTCACTAGATTATATTATAATTTGATCAACACTTAATGTAAGGAAAAAATTAAAATTAACCTATTCTCGGTTCTGGCGTCATTTTCTATCTCATGCATTTCTGATAGGGCTAGTAAGTATTCCTTGTAAGATACGTTCATTCTAGTTATTATAGGTTCATTCTAGTTAAAATAATTTACCAACAGTCTTGAAAAATATATTGATGTAGCTCCAATATTGTAATTAAATTATATCAATTATTGCGTCTAATTAGTTTAAAGTATTAATAATAATACGTACCTATTTATTGTAACTTACAACAAGCAGTTTTTCGCTTAGGAACAGCTTATCCCAGCAGTGCTTCAGGAAAATGGAGATCAGAAAAAAGATTACATTTCAATAAGCAACATGTCTGACACCACCTCTCTTCACGCAGATAATTTTTCGCTAACAGAGACAGCGCACGTGGCCCCGCTGATCGCCGCAGCGCTGCTTGTTGCTGCTCTACTTGTGCTGGTGCTGTGTTTGCTGATTCGCTGCCGTCGGAGAAGAGGTAAAGCAAATGTATTCTTTTGTGACTGTGGTTATATTTTTCGCTCATACTTCCCATAGTCCTTGGAGATGCGAATTTGCTTTTTGGCTGATAAAAGGTGGTCGTTTAGGATTTTCATATTATAAGATATTCAAGAAAAAATATTAAGGTTTATGTATAATAAATAAAGAGAAACAAATATAACTCCATGCATTCAATCCAATAAGGTACAGTAATTGATGGAAATTCGATTAGTGCTGATATGTGGCATTGTCTCATGATTGTGATGATAGAAAGTTTGATGAAGTGTGAAAAATAATTTCACTAATTCACAAAGTTTTATTACATGTAGAGTTGTATTTTTTGAAACGACCGAAGCGTGTTTCATTTTTTTTATTTTTTTGTTATAATACTAATAGAGATCTTTTATTTCAGAGAGCGTCGAATATAAGACTGATGACTTAGATAGGTGAGTCAATTTTCTGTTCATGCAATATTTTCTCTATGAAATACAATATAATCTGTAAATTATCCATTGGCATTAGCAAGTGGTTAAATGTAAATCTATTTTCCTAAATAATTTAAGAATTTTTGTACAAAACCTCTGATGTTGAATAGTCTCATGAATTCACGAACTTAATTGACAAATATAAGGACGTACTAATAGAAAATATTGTTTTAAAGCATTTTTCTTGTCAAAAACGGAGTTGAAATATTTGATTATACTCTTTTAAAGAGATATAATATTTGACTATATATGTAATACTATGCTTATTCCTATTTCATTGCTCTTTTCAACACCGAATCTAAATACTTGATTGTACTCTTTAATAGAAGTATCATTAACTGACCATACAAGCGTGCTATGCTGATAGCTCTTTCAACTGGTCGTCTTTATACCCTCTAGCGAGAAGACCGTCCTGCCAGCTGATGCTGTGTACTCCCCCCGCGACCCTCCCCGCGCGCCCCCTCCCCGGGACCGGGTGCCGGCGGGCGGTGCGGGGGGTGCGGGGGGCCGGTACTCCCCCGGCGCGCTTCAGGTTCGCCGGGCAGCGGTGGTGCTGCAGCCTCCCACCACCGTGTGAATGCACAGGTGTGATGCACCACTAACTTGGTAGAGGTTCGGTGACGGCAGTATATATATACATACACACACAGACACACATACACACACACACACACATATACATAAGTGTTGTATAAGTTGTATTATCAATTTTATACTTACTTTTAGCTGGGTTTGGGTATAACTAATGATTTCATGGTAATGGATATGGAAGATGAATCCTTGGATTTTAGTTTATAAATAATTGATTAAACATTTAAACGAGTTGAATGTCCTTAATATTAGTGTCGAAGTGAAAATCGAGTGTGAATACTAATAGTAACTTAGGTAGTAAACATTGACGTCGGTGTTGGTTAACAAAAGTAGTTTATTTATCACGAGATAAAAGTTAAACGAACATAATAATTCAATTTGATGACAGTTCCGTTTATTTATTTTAGCAAACAATATTTTACGTAAGAAGAAAAATCTCATTCATAAATTATACTTTTTAAATGTCATTGAAAGTAATAACACATTAATTTACATTGAAGTTTAAATTTTGACAGAGAAGTGACCATAAAATATACGAATTGACACAATAAATCGTGTTTTTTGATTAAAGTATGACTACTATACGAAATTACATTATGTTGAACTTTTACCTAAACTAATATTTACTCACTAATCGATACAATAGTAACAGTATCTATGGACGTAAACGGTTTAAAATAAATCATCATGACATTACCGTCAGCTTGTCATGATTCACTTTTAATTATATTAAGTGCATGCGACACGATACTCCCATTTTAAGGATTAACTTTGAAGGCACCATCACTTTTATTATGCGTGCTGACAATTCATTGGAATTTGCATGTCAATGCGATAGTTTTAATTAATTAATTCGACTCGTTAGTCGGAAGTATATATTGTTTCAAATTAAATTTATAACATCATTATTATAATTCGTTATTTTCATTTTATCTTTTTCGTATCGCAGGCAGCGTTGTCGTCGTTGGAACGAGAAGCCAAAGAAAATGTTTATGCGATACTCGATCCGCATATACAATACGACTTAACTATAAATAATCACGGGGAACCGCCTAAGTACTTATCGCTATCAAAGCCTCTAACTCACCAAAGAAAGCACGCTTCCGAACAGCAAAATATTAATGATATTAATTACAATAAATTTATAGACAATAGATTTACCACTTTTAAAAATGATCATAAAATAAGAAAATCAAATAGAAGTAAACGCAACAATGATAGAAGCTTTGTAAGCAATAGTAACAAAGATGTCAAATATTCTATCGATCCCCAATTTGGAATGATTAGAGATGGAAATAAAGATGTGTTCAACGCACAATGTAGTAGAAACAATACACCTATTAGTTATATTAATAAGGGAAGAATGTATGAGAGAAGTTCTGGAAGGAGTAATATAAGAAAAAATTATGAAAAAGATGTTGATATGATCAAGATAGATGTTAAAAGAACTTCAAATAGAAGAAAAATAAAAGACATAGATGTACAGAAGCAGAGAATTCAAGAAAATGAAAAGGAATTTTCATTTGAAGACTTGCAAGTTGAGCATAAAGTACAAGTCAATACTGAAGACGATTCTATGCCAAAGCCGGGTAAAGTGAAAGAAATCGCATCAAGATTTAATAGGAGCGCGGAAAATATTGAAAGACCTGTGAATGTGAAAGTGAATAGACCAAAGAACGTACAAAGTTTTGATCAAGGTTACTTGGATCACGTTTTTCCAGACGCTGTAGAAATTTAGACATCGGACTGTGAAAGATCTCTTAGTGTTATGCTTGTGTGAAAAATAAGACTATAGTTCTTCTATATAATATATATTAGGGGTTCGTCTTTATTATGTAAACATTTTCTCTATCATTATTGAACATGGCCATATTGTTTTAAATAATAGTAGTTTCTAGGGTATTATTAAGAGCAACTTTCATGACATTCTTCACACCGGGCACTGAAACGCTTTATGACGTAATTAATCCTATATTAATAAGATTTTATGTCATATATATTTGCATTTCACATTTCGTACTTAAAGAGGATGTGTGCTTATTTATTTGTGATCTAATTCTTGCTTATCAATAGTTTTACGATCCGTTACTGTTCTATGGAATGTATAGTCTTTTTTCTAATGTTTTGTATTGTTGAATTTTAACAGTATTAAATTTATAATTTACAAAAAATATTTTGTTTTTCTTTCCCTTCTTAATATCAATTAGTAAAAATGTATTTGGCGTTTTTCTTTTATTGAAGTATCTCCATCAATCCTGCTGTATATGTAAGTATGTAGTTTTACGTTTAAAATTGTAAGCGTGTTGTTCAATTAATTGTATTTAACCAACTAATTTAAAAGGGCGTAAGTGGCAGAATGTATTCCCTAAACCGAAATAAAAACCAATACTGAAATTTCCCAAAGGCATTACGTACGAAATCTTCAGAAAATATTTAACGTTTAACCAAAAATACATGTATACAGATAGTTTAATTAAAAACATTTTGTTAATGAAACTTCGTTAGTAAAATGTTTTGGCTCTGTTGACTTTTAACTGTTGCCATGTAGGCACTTAGACATTAGATCACTTTGTATAGACACTTTAAATGTTGTAAGATATAGATTACACAGAAAGAAGCTTTTTTAAAATTACTGGTAGGCACCAGACCTTGGCTTAAATATTTTAAAAGGTAAAAAAATTGTTTGAAAGTATTCCTTTTAAACTAATTTGTTTTATCTTACTCGTGTTTAGTACTTCTTCACATAAAACCTACTATAGGAATTTTGATGAAACTTTACAATAATAGCTTAAACATCAGAATAAGAAATAGGCTAAAGTTGCCTGTTACCGCTGTTTGTGATTTGTAATTTGCATGAAAAAGCTCATGTAAAGAGACTAGCTATAGATGTCACTGTCACTATATTTTTTAGTTATTATTCATTTCTCTGAGCTCAATTCGGAAGGTCAGTCGAACAAAGTCGCGATTGAAAACTAGTGGATTAAAATTTAGAATAACACATTATATGTATCATTTATTAGAAAAAAAAAATTATAATTTTCAAGCATATTGAATACGAGTCAAAATGCTGTTTAAATAAATCAGAATTTTTTATAAATTTATCACCTGATTAATCAAACATATTCTCCAAACTAGACAATGATTTTATTTTAGTATTATTTAAAAAAACGCTTAAAAAATTATTAATCTTTATTCGGAAACTATTGCGATGACTAAATAATAGGAGTAATTTTATATAAACAGTACTTTATCATTCCAACATAATCGACAATAATTTATATTATTTACCTTATTGTGAATTTAGGACATAAATATTTAGTGCATAAATGTAATAAAACCACAGGAAAGTCTACAAAACTGAAGGTCAAAGCCCGCGAGTACTTAAAGCACGTCTCCGTGACTTAAATACTCATGTGTCAGATATGACTAATAACACAAAAAATATATATATGTATATACATATATATATATATATATATATATATGATTGGTTTCATTATTCTACTTACTGCGTTTACGTTCACATTATCAAAATAAATACTCCTTAAATATCTCTGAATCAGTGCTAAAACTTACATTTAATATATTTTTAAAAATAATTTTATTGAATGGACATTAAATACCTATTAATCCTGCTTGTATAGAATAAAATTTAAGCCAATCAAAGTAAAGGGAGATGTTCCTATTTGTTTGTTATTTTTATCATAACATATTATGTAGTAATATAAAAAATATTTTTCTAATAACAAAGAATTTATATCAGTAATAAACATTATTTTTAATAGAACAAAGGAAAATATATCGTGTGATCGTTGTTCTAGGTATTTAATAAAAAGCTGAAGTTAATTTCGGTTTTAGAATTGATATCAATGGCACGCTAGCTGTATATAGATATAAACAAGAGACCGGTCACAGTTTAACTCAGTTGGCCGTCGGCAGTACAACCTCGCATCTTCGCCGAACGAGTTGAACGCGAATTAAAAAAAAAACACATTGGCGCGAAACATTTGACGTTTGTTTCTTCTAATAAAATGCGGCTGTTATTTATAAAAATTTTATTAGTTTTTAGCGTGAATGGACAGCTGTGTGACGAAAAAAATACAGTGGACCTGACGTTAGCAAAAAGTTTGGAAGATGGAATTATCGTGAGTGATGGTGAAAAATTTTCTCCTGGATATATTTATAGACGAAACGACACTGATGGAGAGAAGATATTTGGATGTTTGTGTCAGGGAAAACGATGTTTCAGAAAGTGTTGCCCTCCCGGGAAAGTGTACCAGCGTTCACAGGAAGGGAGAAAATGTATCGACCATGAAGATATTGTACAAACGAAAGGCTTGGATGTATATTTTATGAACAATTACAAGAAAACGATAGATGTTGTTCACACTCCTGGCATATTTTTTTTATATGGGATACCTTGCGATGGAGATGTTTATCTTGAAGACAACGGAGAATGGTTTATACAAGAGGTTAGTAATCTAATTCATTTAATTTAATAAAGACAATAACTTGAATATGAAATACTTTTAAATGTCCATTAAATATGTAAATTACATTTTAAATAATATCTATACTTTCATATATATAATAAGATTTATATTATCGTAATTCGTGTGTCACATTACTCAATAAGAACATACAGGAACGCAAAACCTGTTTGTTACTTAAGGCTTTTGCAAATGCAAAATGAATTGAGACCGAAATGCTACAAAATTAAAATATCGGATCATCAAAACCTGCACTCTTCGAGAAACTTTACGTGCTATATTAATTACAAAAAAAATATTATATGTTTATAGAAATATATATTTTAGTTTCTGTATGACATTGAGACCGATAAAAAAATTTCAAAACAGGATGAGATAAATCTGTGGTGGGAGCAATCTTTGTATGACATTGAAAATATATATAAGGACGATGTCAACACGTGTTATAGCGAAGACCGTAAAAACTATTATCTCAAAGAAACTAAATTATTTAGATTTTATATGAAATACTTATAAACCATATCAAATACTAAAATTCCCAGCAGACTTGAAGTTTTTGATATATTCGTAGTTTTAACCACATCTTAATAAAATACGTTCGTATTATTGTCTATGAAAATAATAATAATAAATAAAATAAAAAGAATGAAATAAAATTTAACGTATAATGTATATAATTATTTTAAAACTAATTTTGAACACTTTTAAAGAGGTCTTCACACTATGTAGTTAAACCATATAAGTCTCGCTCTTTTTGTTATATTTCTGTACAACTTGTAACTTTTTTCAATATTTTTCATCTATTCAACAAAAAAATATTTCAGTATTATAAATAATATTTTTCTTCTACACATCAAACATTTCAGCCCACATACACATTAGTATGGTTACATAGCTCACGCGCAATATAATATAAAGAAATTATTTACATTTTTCGTAATATGTTCTTACCTTTGAAAGAGACAATGAAACGTGAAAACTTAAATTTAATAGTGTCTATGAAATGTTTGAATAGATAGTTGGTGGTATAACAAAAAATTATACCTCCCTGATTTATTCCTTCCCAATTTCCGATCAATATAGACAATCTACACTATAATAATATTTACAACTATTATGTACCAAATTGCGTCCTAAGTCCGAGTTCTCCTTACACCTGCCAGTACAAAGACTCTGTACTATTTCCCACTATTGTTCTTTCAGTTTAATTTGCTTACATTCGAAGAAATTCTCGTTTCTATTCCGAAACTATACATTTTAATACGTCCTGTAACAAACGTCTTTCGTAAAGCGTGACATACAATTGATAGTTTAAATTGCATCCTAGTATTTATTGTATATGAATTGTTAATTTATTCTTTATTCTAGGAACAAATATTTTTCTTAAAAGCACTTACGGAGAACTGATAAAATCTTCCTGTATCTGTTTAAGTCACAATTTATTATATTAATAGTTCAACCTTGATTTCTATTTGTTTTTTTATATTTAAATACATAAGTCATGTAAAGGATATCAATAGTAAGGAATTGTAAGGAAAAATATCCTATATGTTGATTTAAATAAAATTATGTATACCAGAAATCATTGCAAATTAAAGAATATTTCTTATAATAATATATGGCACGAATTAAATACCACTAAGTCGTTATTTAAAAAAAATACAATACGAGACCCGTTAAAGACATTGAAATTACAAAATTTATTTATATGCCAAGGATTTGTAACTTAAACGTGATCATATTTGCATTGCAACTAAATTAGAAGAAAAACAATTATTACATGAAAAATTAAAATTTCAATTATATCAAATTTATAAATATTATATTTGGATCTCTAAAATTAATTAGTTATTTCATAAATTTATATAAAATACAAAAATTAAATTAAAAAGACGTTCAGTCGAGAAATGTAAATAATACTATTAATTGTAATCGTCACAATCTCTTTTCCAGCTAAGATTTCTAAGAGGTCGTCTTGTAAGCATACAATTTCAATACATACATACATCATTGTTGAAAAAACAGTTATTCTTCTTCCATATATTATATGAACTCGCGTCAACTTTGACCTAAATTCATTTGGAGCTAACGTTCTTCTATACTATCACTTTAAATTTTTCCTTTCCATCATACCTCCAACAGCTATTTTCATACTTCTTTTCTTCTAAGAAATCGCAATACACCGAATCATTTTCTGTTAATTTGAAATAGTAATTTTAAACCCGATTTCATAAAACTCTACCTTTTAAAGTCGGTTACCAGGTTTTTAAAAAATATATATTATTATAATTATTCCAATAAATTAATAACTTATTGTGTTAATGGAGTTGAATAAAAGAAACTTTAGTAATATAAGGATACACATGATTGCCTTGTGATTTATCAATTATAGACTCTACATAATTTTTTTTTCATTCAATAACCCACGTAAATATTAAATGTGGAAATATCAAAAAATTAAAAACTAAGAACCAATATGACGATGTCAACTTCTATATTAAATGAAGAATTAATTGTTGACTACTTTTATAGCGCTATAAAAATATTATTATTTTCTGAGTTATGGAGTCTTTATTACATTTTAATTTATATAAATTTAGAATGTGATATATTTTAGTATTTTACGAATAAAACGTTTTTCAGTATGTAGTGATAAATAAAAAGCTTGTTGACCTTGACGAAAATAAAACTTTTACTCGGAAAATTTGTGGAACATTCATCGATAAGACAAATTAAAACAAACAAAAACCATAGAAAATATATCAGATAAAAAACTTCTTTAATGAATTTTTAAAACATTTGTGGTTTAAAGAATTAATAAAAAACGGTCATAAGCCCAATGATTCTCGTACAATAGATCAATAGGTAAGTCCGCATCGTCATACCACATACGAAAAATTTCGCGTTTTTTCATTCAATGACTGACAACAATATTATATGAGAATATTAATGAGTAACAAACAGTAAACGCAACGTACGTAGTGTGACGATCCAAACTCATGGTATACAGAATCTTATTGCAAGCTCTCTTAAAATAATAACATAATAATCTTCTATGTAAATTGCCCTTCACCTACATCCAATACACATAAATAGTTGGTTTATAACGAACATTTTCCGCATCTCTTTAGTACACTTCGATAAAATATTTATAACACTAGTTGTGAATTGTGAATATGTTTGTTTTATAGCCTTGATGCGTTTTAAAAAATAACATTCAAAATTGTGGTTTATCTTCTTGATTAATTTGAAGAGGCACAGTCTAGTAAGTATTATGACAAAAAAAAACAATTTATAAAATTACTGGTATTTAAGAAATAATAACTGTACATTTAAATAAAACTAATACTTTTTTTTGGATATACTACTCGGTTTATTTTTGTGAAAAACTACATACTCCCGACGTTTAATCTACTTTTCAGCAACCGTGATCACTAGTTCACACAAACTCTTAGATCTTAACTGTAATTTTTTTTCAAGAAATTATTCTTCGTAATATTTATCAAAAAACATAATCTAAAGCAACGTTAAGCCATTAATATTATAGTTCAGTTAAATATTATAACATAAAACATAAAAAATACTGAAAATCACTGAAAATTTAAGCATAAAATCCTTCTATTTTGTATTCTTTTAATATTCATATAAACAGTTGTAAAAAATCTATCATTCTACGTCATTTACATTATTATTAATACTTTGAATTTTCCCAAACCACGGGAAATACAATGTACCAGTGTTGTTCGTGACACAAGTCACAGATGAGATCATGTACTTGTATTATGTTATCTATATAATTACTCAGATTTGAATAATACATCAGGATAATAGTTTTATAAAAGCTTTTAGCTATTATTTAAATTGGTTCAGCTTGATCTTAATTTATTTACCCATAGTAAAATAGATATATATATATATATTATATGTATATATGTACATACATTTTTCTTGTTGTATATTTATTAAATAAATGTACATGTTCTATTAGAATCGTTTTCATTGTACATGGTAAATTTAAAACTTAAGTTGACAATTTACGATGAACTCCATAGCAACAGTTTTATTATGAAAGTTTCTGTATTATGTATTTATTATAAATCCAAATTAATTTTAACTCAAAATGAAACTAATTTTTTTCGGGTGTACAACGCGTTTTTTATTTTTGATTATAAACTACATACTCTCAACGTTTCGGAAAAATATTAGTTTCATTTAAATGAATACTTACGAAAATCTGAGATCTCATAAATTTTACTCTTGTCACTGTAACGATCATTGGATTTACAAATGTTAAACTCTTCTTTTATCTTTATTTATACTCAGAAAAGTTATTAATTTATATTTTTACTAATATTTCTGTTCTTTAATTTGATTGTATAGTTAGTTAAAATTAAATCTTAAAGTATATGAATATTGAAACAATAACTCTTCTTCTTACAAAGTAACAAAAGTCCTATTATAAACATTTGGGAATGAATGTTTAATAAAAATTAAACCACATTTCAAAAAATGTTCGAATAATGAAAAAGTGTTTCAAAAAAATATTCATTATTTTCTATTAATATTAATTTGTCTTAAACCGGAAAAGCTTAATATAATTAAGTTAAAAAAAACTATTCAAGATATATTATTTGATCATCATTTAAAAATCATAAATGAGAAATAGATTCGATTGCTTCTATGAAGCAATTTATATCTATGAAGGTATACGTACATATATGTCTTTTGAGTATTTAATAATATAGCCAATATAAAACTATACAAAATCATTCTTTTGAAACATTAGTAACATTTATTCTGAGAATATTTCTTTATATATTATGTCAACCGATATCTGGTCATTACTTCAAATCTTTTATTAAATATTCACTACATATTTCAGTCAAAAGTAACAGTATGCCAACTATAATAAATAAAACCACATATATAATATGTAAATCTCTTTATATACTAATTCGCCAGCTACGTCTTGCTAACCATAT